TATGTTCATAAATAAGGTTAATATTCCTAATTTATTATTCCATGATCAAATTTATGTTCCATGACTTATAATTAATTAAGGATGTTATATATAATATAAAATTTTGAGGTGGTTAAAATTTTATAAAGCTTGCATTCATTTTATAAAATTCTGACACATGTTATAAAATTTGGACATTTTAAACTATCATATAGGATATAGAGTATCTTATGGTACTATAAATCTTTTATAGCTATAAATAATATTTGTAACTTATTTTATCGGCTTATTGGCATTCTATGTAGTGGTTTCGAGATTCAAGCGAAATTGAGGAATCAAGTATACTAGTCCTAGTTTTGAACATTGACTTAAGTTTCTATGAGGCTCCAACCTAATTTCTACAACTAGGTCAAGTGCATAATGTGTGTATATGATTCATGAAAAGGTGTTCGAGTCAAAGAGTGACCCGAATATGGATAGTCTCTACAGTTAAGTAGTTATAGAATTCACATATCAATGTGAAATCTAAGTACACCATCCATTGTTTCTATTTGTTTCCAAGTTTCTACTAGGTTATAAATTAGCTTCTAGTTACTAAGTCTAATATGTGTTGTACCTATATGTGCAACTAAGTCTAGTCAAATCTAGAACCGACTCGAATTTTGACGGTTGTCACACTAGACGAGTTTGCTTAAGACTATTACTTATACTTGAAAAAGTGAATTTTAGGTCATTTAATTCAGTTTCATCGTTAGACATAGGTACGTTGAGGGATTCGAGAATGGTGTGTACCTTTTTGATCAGTTGATCACATTCATTAATTTGCTCACCAACAGGTTTTGCAGCAAAACACTTGTCATATCCTCTTTCCTATGCGTTCCCATGTCCATTATCTGTCAACCCGCCATTGGTCACCATCAAGCACCTACCAACGAACTTTGAGCTTTCTTCTTTTTCAACGAATGCTCTGCCATGTGTAGGCTAGCGAACTTCCTCATCCTCTGAGTCAGTTGACCAAATCTCCACTCCTCCAAACTCATACTCAGCTGTATTTTCCTGCACAATTAACGCATGCATTGAGTTATCGTTAGTCTTCTTCTTCTTCTTCTTCTTCTTCTTAATCTCTTCTAGCTTACGCGAGTAGTAAGCCTCATAATCCTCTCCTTTTTTCATCTCATTCATCCTCCTCAACATGCACTCCTTCGCCAAATGGTTTTTGCCATGACAATAGTTACAGTCATAGCCTGAGTCGCCAACCAGCTTGCTTTCCTTCTTCCTCTCTTCATCCTTTAGAGGAGTGCTTTTGTTCTCATCATTCGCTTTCTCGGAACTATAACTTCCCTGCCAGTTTCGGTTCTTAGTGGTAGGGAATTTCTTTCTTGCAAACCGTTTGGGGTTTGAAATCATCAAAGCATAATCTTCACTTGTCAGATCATTATCAGAAAGATCAGTCTCTGGTTCTTCCTCTGCAACACTCTTGCCTTTTGAAATAAGAGCCAAGGACCCCATACCGGACACAACTTTCGTTTCTTTCGTCACTTCACTTTCGTGTGACTTAAGAATGCCAACAAGTTTGGCCAATGAATAATTCTTGAACTGTTCATGAGCTTTAACAGTTGAGACTACCGCCATCCATTCATGTCTAAGACCATTCAAGAAAGTGATCTTCTGCTCGATCAGCTTTCTTTCTATTCCATGCTTAATCATCTTACTAAGAAGATGATTGTATCGGTTGAATGTCTGGCTAAGATTCTCTTCCGGCTTTTGTTTGAAGTCGCCAAACTCTGAAAGCAGGAGTGTTTGGGTAGAATGTTCGAGATCAACATCTGTGGAATAAAGCTCTTTAAGCCTGTCCCAAATTTCTTTCGCACTATCACAGGAACTCACCAAGTGGAAAGTGTCAGACTGTAGAGCGAACCTTATAACTCTCATTGCTTTGATGTTACTGGTGAGTTTGTCTCTCTCATCCTTAGGAACCTCCTTCATATCAATGAGCAACTGGTTGTATTCCTTCTGAGTTTTGATGATTCTTTTGGTTTCAAAGTGAACAAAATGACCCAAAGTAATGGCTTCCCAGATCAAATACCCATTGTCTTCTAAACCGAGAACATAGTCTTCAAAATGAAGAGCCCACACTTCATACTCGTGGGGATATAGAATCAGAATTCTTGTGGTTGAACCTATGCTGTTTGAGATGTTGATTGGATTGGATTGAAAATCATCGTGTGACATTTTGACTAGTTTTCTTTACCTGTAAAGAATCAGACTCATAGGATCGACTTAGGGTAATATCAAGATCACGGAGTGGCGTCAACAAAGTAATGACGGCTCCAACAGATTCGATAATAGCGGAAACCCTAATGATTTCTTCAAACAGAAGAGATGCGTATGATTTACACAGCCTCCTGCTCTGATACCAATTGTTAGGAATAAAATCCTCTTAGATCGATTAAATTATAACAAGTAAAGTATTAACACAATATGAAAACAAGAACACAGGATGGATCAACTGGTGTCGAATGATTAAGAGACACAACCTCAGAAGAGCTCTATGAAGAATTGATAATGTAGAGGCGTGCTAGGGTTACAATGTTGCATGAATGCACTATATATACTATAACCCTAATAATTAATACGGTTGGACATGCCCAAACCGTGAACATAATGGACTAAGTAAAACGGCCAAATGACGCAATCTATTAAACCGAACAAGTGATAGGAGTAACTTGCAAACCCATGTGGTGGATTGTTAAAAGGTTTGAAGTAGATGAAAAGTATTTGATGTTTTGAGATTTTTAGAACATGAAAACGATGTAGGATTCAAGAATAGGGTTTTTGGCACTGTAGCACAACAAAGTTTAACGAATTTACACATTTAGTCACTCAAGTTCTTTTTTTGCGCAATAGACCATTAAAGTTAAATTTTACCTATCAATTACTCCATTATATAACCTACTACAGGTAGAGTCATTTACTTTTATGATGTAGCATTTTAAATTAGATTTATTTATATCTTTTAAGGTTTTGAAGGCCACGTAAGCTTGTTTTTTGTTGACTTGGCATTTAATTGGAGCCATCCATTTCAGTTTGGGAAAAAAAATTGTGTTTCTTCTCAAGACCCACCGGCACCAATGGTATCTTCATTTCTCCACATCAAGGCCCACCATTTTCTCCGGTGAAGGTTGAAACCTATGCACAACACCTTCAAGGAAGAAATCTATGTTGTTGGAGCTCGTGAAGTATATTCCTGGTGAAGCTTGTGCAATCTTCGGCTACCCCTGGTTAAAGGTATGTTGGAGTGTTATTGACAGGAACAACACGTATTTATCTGGTCTCAGAAATCGTAGCCACCGCCACCATGGATCTTGGGAAGAGACGGTTTCCTTCCGATGATTCACCTTCCCAAAACAATTGGAAATATCTCAATCGAAACTACCGAAAGCTCTATCGAAACCAGTCATTCATCATCGGAAGCAAAATTCAGTTCATCATTCGAACCAAGGATTTGAGCAACGAACTCAAAAAAAATTTCACCCACCGAAAATTCAAAATCGTACTCGTCTGATGGTTTTTAGATCAAAGATGAGATTCAAAGTATAAAAAAACCCCAAACATACCTTTCGACAAACAACTTATAACAAGATTCGAGATTCGAACTGCAATTTAGGAAAAGAAGCACAAAATCGAACTGCAATCTGGGAAAAGAAGCACAAAATCGAACTGCAATATAACAAGATTCGAGATTCGAAGTTCAGGTGGGTGTTAATTTCAATTTCACATACCGAGGTGAAGGGCAAAGCGTTGATTTTAGATTCAAACTTCATATTTTTCTATACCGAGCAGTGGTGGAGAGCGTCGGAGGTGAGGCGTTGCGGGGAGGTGGTGTCGCCAGAGATGAGGTGTCGTCGGAGTTGGAGTGGTCGGAGGCGAGGTGCCGCGGGAGGTGGAGAGCGATAGCGGGAATGAACGAACGGATTTTAAGGGCAGAAGGTCCAGCGAAGTGTTTTCTAAGGAGTAGCGTTTCATAGTATTTATTCATATATTACGATCGTAACTTAAGGAAAGAAGGAAAAAAAAAACCCCATGTAGATTTAGATTTGATTTTTAATTTCAGAAGAAAAAAAAGCCACCTAGATTAAGGCTAACCTATAAACCGGATAAAAATTTGTTCAATTCCTTAATCAGACGGTCATTCCTAACTTTGAGGACTAATTGCGAAAGAAAAGAACTTGACTAATTAAATGTGTAAACTCGTCAAACTTTATTGTGCTATAGTCCCAAAAATCCTCAAGAACACGAACCTCTTTTTCGTTGATCATTGGGATTTGAATAAGAACCATCAGAAAAATGAATTCCCAATTTATTTAATGGAAGCTATAGATGGATTTCAAGGGCGATGGTTGACGGAAGTTCGGATGGAGAGAGAGAGAGAGAGAGAGAGAGAGAGAGAGAGAGAGAGAGAGAGAGAGAGAGAGAGAGAGAGAGAGAGATTGGCCCATTTGCTGAAAAAAACCATTTATCCAAATTTATGAAGGGTTGGACCAGTCTCTTAAAAAAATATAAACCACATCGATCATTTATACAATTTTATCTGTAAAAAATAATGTAATTCATATTTTGAGTATATAATAAACTAAATAAAAATAAAAATTATGTCACACATGCCAAGTGTTCTTGCAAACCTATTTTCTATGTTTGAAAAGAACGTTGACTTGGCATTTTGCAAGTCGCATGCAAGAGTAATAGGAGGGACTAGTTGTCGGCTCCCTAACATTTTTAATTTTATAGACAAACATATTGTCCAATGAAAAGAAAGTTTTTCCCACTCATTAATCACATAAAATGTGCTGTATAATACATTACTTTGATGCGACTCGACGAGAGCATGATTGCACGAATGTCTGCATCTTGTTACACTACAAAAGACATTGCATTTATTAAACAGGTCCTACCAAACTAATTTAGTTTACGGTTTTCCTGACTGTGAATACCAGGCATGCATGCATAGATAAAATTAACAATCAGCGTAGCCACAACTTATGAAAGTCGTCATCACTTGAACGACCATCACCACAAAAACTAAACACAATCAGTTCCCGGCCCAGCTCGCAAACCATTCGAGGACCTGCAAGATAATCCCGGCACAAGGGACAAGTCATGTGCCGGTGCTCTAAGCAACGGTCCAAGCATTTCTGATGAAACAGATGCTTACATTTCAGCACCCCTATCTCGTCATCTTCTTCAATCGCCGACAAACACACTGCACATTCCACGGGGTCTGTTGAGGTCCAGTCATTGCCAAACCGGCTGGCCTCAGGCTCATATTGACTGCTTTTTGGCATCCGAAACACAGTTTGGTGCTGGAAGAACGAGAGGTGGATGATGAAATCCCAAACCCAGTTTAGATAAGCGACAAATGAGGACAAACTGCGTACTGGATTACTGAACATTTTGAGATTCAGCACGATCTTGTTTATCCAGTAAGGTTTTTCAGGACTTCAAAAACAAATTCTATTGGAAATACAGGACCTTAAGATGGGGAATGATTGTGGAAATATATTTGGGTTTGGTGGTGTATATATAGAGAAGGGAAAGAACTCATGAAGTAAGCATCAGTAGTGGTGGAGAAGAAAAGTCATTTCAGTTCGCTTATTCTTAATTCAGAACAGTCAAACATGGCGAGTAGCTATCAAGCAACAGTTTAAGCATTAAAAAGATTTAAATCTTTTATTAAGATTTCAACAACAAAAAAAGGCATATTAAAAAAATAAAGGGTTCCTAACTTTATTTTTTTAACTCAGACCATCCCTATAATGTTATGTTATGGATTTAGTCCCTAATAGATAGAGGTAGCAAAAATTGACACGACACGAACTCGACACCAAATAAACGGGTTTGAGAAAAATATTTCAATCCGTTTAAATAAACGGGTTGACACCACATGACACGAAAATTAAACGGGTTAGGATTGAGAATCGAATATGACTCGAAAATGACCCTTTTATTTATATGCAAGTTTTTTGAATTATTTAAATAAGACAAAATTGCAAAAATGGTCCCTGTGGTATGCAGATTTTTGGGGTTTTAGTCCAAACCCCGAGTTTTTTGGATCCATGGTCCTTTTGGAGTGGTTTGTATGTGATTTTGGTCCCTAGACTTAACTCCCGTTAAATAGGATCTGTTAAGCCCCCTCATGTGCCTCACACGTGAGGGTAATTCGTCATTTCATATATAAGGGACCATTTTTGCATAAACCGTTTTTTGACTTAATTCGTTTTAAATATACCACTACATGCGATCTTTCTTCCCCAACGTCTCTTTTTTCTACCCTTCTTCTTCTTGAGCTCTGTTACAACAACAATGGTTCTATGTTTTTGTGGAAAAGTTGCTTTGGTGAAAACGTATTGGACCCCTCTGAATCCAGGAAGGAGATTTTTTGCATGCCCTATGACTAATTATTTTTGTGGGTTTAGCAGGTGGCTTGATCCCCAATGTGTGCTAGGTCTAAAGCCATCATACCTGGACTGCTAAGAAATTTGAATTCAATGCAGGAGCGGTGCAATGAGTTGCTTAGAAGTGTGAACATGCTACAGGATCAATGCAATGGACTGAGATGCAGGAACAACATGTTGGTGGCAAATTGCAAAGCCATGAAGGATGAAAATTTGAAGCTGAAAATGTACCTGTTTGGAAGTTGGTTTTTTTTTTTTTTTTTTTTTTTTTTTTTTTTTTTTGTTTGTTTGTGATTGTCTTGTTCTGTATCTAGTTTGTGTAGGGGTTTACTGTGTGGTGTTTTGGTCTGTGAAGGGTATTAGTATGGATAAAATGGTCATTTTGTTGTAATTTTATGTGATCATTTTTGTAGTGACTTATGATGGTATGAATGTATTACCAAAATTGTATGAATGTATCAGAATTAACAAATCAATAGAAATGGTATGAAGATTCATTAGAACCAATTGTACATAACCAAAATGCACATTTCATTAAGATTCATAACATAACCAAAATGCACATTTCATTAAGATTCATAACATAACAACCAAAATGCACATTTCATTAAGACTAATAGCATAACAACCAAGTATTCATAACAACCAACCAAAAGATTTCAACAAAATAGTGTAAACATAACAACCAAGTGTTCAAAAGCAACCAAAATCACAGAAAACCCCATGCATGACACATTACTTCTTGGACTGATTCCCACCTTGCCCTTTACAAGTCCTAGAGTTGTGTCCCTTGTTCTTGCATTTGCTACAAGTAACACTGATACACTTCCTTGATAGCTTCTGCACTCCATCATTTGTTGGTTTTTGGGAACCTCGTTCTTGTGTAGCATTCACTCCATCACCTTGACTTGCCCTCTAATTTTTTTTGGTTAACCTTTGTGGGACATTCACTCTTGGTCCACATGGATCTCCCCTTAATTGGCTCCACCTTAAATGAATAAGATTTTTTCCATGTATCTAGAAAATACACCTTGTGAACCCATTTGTAAATGTCAAGCTCAGCCTCTGGGTCTTTACTCATTTCATTCAGAGTTGCAATTGCATGTCTGCATGGAATTCCAATCAATTCCCATTTTCTGCAAGTGCATGTTTGGTTCTTAACATCCACTACATGTTGATCCTACAAAGCTCCTGTAACTTGATACATGTCTCCCCCATTCCACCTAGCAATGTATTGTGAAGCAACTTTTTTTCTTACAGCTAGGATGTCTGTTGTTGTGGGTTTTAGTGGACCTTTAGTCTTTTTCATTTCCTTCATGACATTGCATATCCTCTTCATTAGATACTCCCTTATGTATTCTAGACATCCAATGACAGGTTTATCCCTTCCTTTGTCTATCTTCCCATTAAACACTTCACACATATTTGATATCAAGACATCAAAAACTGCTCTTCCTGTTGTACATTACCATTAAAAATCAGTTAATACAATTAACATACAAGTAAAACAGTTCACTAAGTGAAAGACATAAGGACCAAATTGGAATATATTGAATTACCTGAAAAGTGACTCCTTGCCCAATGTGTAGGAGGAATTTGCTTCAACCATTCACATGCCTCCTTATCATATTGACTAAACTCCTTCATCAAATGTTCAAACTCAGGAATGGTGGTAGCTGATGCACACCTCCATAAGTGGTCCCTATACTCTGTTTGTCTCCACCTCTTCCTCATATTGTCATGAATATGTCTGATACAATATCTATGCTCAGCATTGTGAAACAACTGATCAACTGCACTTTGTAAACCCTACATGAATCAATTGACAATAATTAGAGTTAACTAAAAACCACACATCTTAAATGACCAAATGTATAAATTTGCTTTACCTTTTGTCTGTCACTTATGAAAGTGAAATTTGAGTTTCTTCCAAGGTCCAAGTCATCCCCAAGGTTTTCTAAAAACCACTTCCAGCTTTCTGTGTTTTCAGACTCAACAATCCCATATGCTAATAGGTAAATTCCATTATTGGAATCAAGACCAACTGCTGATAGGACCTGCCCAGGGAATGGTCCTTTCCTGAAGGCACCATCAGAACCTAATAAGTCCCTAAGGCATGCCTTGAAAGCTTTCTTCAGTGGACCCCAAACACAACTAAATTCTTCTAAACTGCCTGGTTGGGGAATCAGGGTTAGGCTCAGAACATACATCTATTTTCACTGTGGTATCTGGGTTGGTAGCTTGAAGTTCGATAACATAGTCCCTCAACAGGTCATACGACTTTGTATAGTCCCCAGTTATATGCTTTCTTGCCTTATCCTTTGCCCTGAACACCTTGTCCATACTAATACCCACTTGGTAGGTCTTTTGAAAGTGAACTTGTATGGCTCTCAAAGGTATATCTAGATTTGCCTCAACTTGATCAAATATTTTCTTGCTGATAAAAGAAGCAGTACAAGCCCTGAGTTTCCTTGTTTGCAAACATGTGTGAGTTTGGTTTAAGGTCCTTATAAACCAGTCGAATTCAGGATTTGACCTAGATGCATCAACATTGAGAGTGAAGTCTCCCATGTCCATATCCACATCCTGGATATTGTTGTCAACATCCATTATGTCATCTACATGATCTTCATCTTCTTCATACTCTGGATCACTATCTTGAGAATCATCATCCTCTTCATACTGTGGATCACTTTCTTGAGATTCATCATCCTCTTCATACTCTGGATTACCCTCTTCAGATTCTCCATCCCCTTCATACTCTTCATTATCCTCATTACTTCCAATCAAATTTTCCATAAGGTTATCAAATAGCTCATTCAATTATTGATCCTCATTATTAACAAGGGGGGGGGGGGGGTGTTGTAGCATCCTTCAACAACAGTTGATGCCTCTTCAACAACAGTTGCAGCCTCCCTAACACCATCCATCTCATCAATATGAAAAGAAGTTGCTGCCTCCTGAACATCAGTTGAACCATCCTGATCGTCATTCTTTTCCTTTGATATGTGAAAACCCTCATCAATATAATCTAAATTAAGCCTCTTGCTACAAGAACCTTCACCTCTTTTGGAATTCCCAACTCTACCCCTTGTATACTCTGGTGAGAAACTATCATTCTTACTCCCAAAAAGAATAAGAGACATGAACTCACCAATAGGCTCATCATTACCATGGATCATATTTTTCGATGGAGATTCTTCATGAACTTGACCGTCAACTTCAGCCCCTTGATCATCATTTTCTGGTAATTCCTCAACGACAACTTTACCCTTTGCATTTGGAGACATGAAGTAAGTCAGTAAATTTGTCTTCCCATGCTCTGTGTACACCTCAATCAGCTTGTTATGTCCAATGTATTTAGAAAGGTTGATCACATCCTGATCATTCCTTAAAGCTCTAAGACCAAATTGAAAGTCACCATTGGGTATCCTAAAATGGTAGTATATCACTGGGGATTCATCAGCGAAATCAGAATTTTGTGGGTGTGGGTAACCTAGGTCAAGCGTTATAGCATCATGTTCATGTATAGAAAACTCATCTATGTCCACATAATCAACATAACACACTTCACCTCCAATTACTTTATATCAGGTAACATAGTAAATTTCCCACCGTGATGAAGCTTAATACTAAACCATGTTGGTGCACCCGCTAAAAATCAAAATTATGCATATTAACAAAGTCAATTTTTTTTTTCTAAATCAATAAGAAAATGCAAAATATGAAAGTTAAAGAAAACAGAGCAACTTACCATACACGGCTGATACATCAACAACTTCATGTTTTGGTCTGATATGCCACATTACGAACACCATTCGTATTAAACGTATGTCCTTGTATGTGTAGCGCCGATTAACTTGTTTGGATAAGCAACGAGGGTTTTTTGCAGGTTCAATGGAGCAGAAGCAAGAAGAAGGGAGTTGGGGAGTTGACGGGTGTTGGGGAAAGTAAATGAGGGGTAAAGAGGAATTAAGTCAAAAAACGGTTTATGCAAA